TTATGATCTCACACCTCCCTCCAATATTACAGCCATTGTCACTGAAGTCGGAACTATTCCTCCGAATTCTGTTTATTCACTCCCTGGAGCATTGGGTCGCGGTGTTTCTACGTAGAATATGCATCTATATCGTTGTCATAATAATATTCGGATAATTGTTTCTCCCCGCCATCAATCTCGAGTACAAGTATACACTCTTCGCTATGATTCCTTAGTTTGAATTCCAGATTATATCCTGAGTAATCGCTCGGAGAGCGGGATCATGTAGGATAATGCTCATTGGAAATCCCTAAAGTGAAACTGTCCCTGAATCTGATGAGACTCGCCCAACTCGAGTCTATCATTTCTTTATCTTTCTGGATAACCATATCGGTGCTGATAGCAGTCGTTCCCACTGGCACATTTGGCTCCAAGCTTACCTTGGCACCGTCTTATCTCCCGCTCGTCTTCCAATCATGATGCTCATCATCAGCTATGACGATATTCCAAGATCCAACGCCATATGCTATTACAGGCTATTACTTGCCCCAAGACTCAAATTAATATCGTTCAATATTCTACAGGCCTATCTTGATAAGCTTGAGTTCGAGTCGCCGCCACCCAATAATGCGAAGATGCTCGAATTTATTGTTTCTCTCGTTCTCTCGTTCTCTCGTTCTCTCGTTCTCTCGTTCTCTCGTTCTCTCGTTCTCTCGTTCTCTCGTTCTCTAGATCTCCCTTCACTGGGCTTTTAGCATTTATCAGAGCGTTCTTAATCAAAGAATCATCTAGTAACCTCTTTTGGATATCTTTATAGCTAATTTAAGTTGTGGATCTGAATCGTTATAGCGTTTGGCTTCTCACCATTGCGTACATTTGCTGGTGCGTATTCAACACCGTGATTCAGTCTCCATTCCCTACTCTCCGGTGTTATACAGTGCTACTTGCATTCAACCTGCTCACCTCAGGCTCCGAGTCTCAAACCTCCATACTATCACCGCCGTCGACCCTATGACGTGTTTCCACCTCCGACCCTTAATGACGCAGGACTGGCTCGAGTCCGTCTACCTTATCATCAACTTTAGGACTTCATGATTCAGATTCTCCCTCATTCATTGAACACATCAATCACATACTGGGGTGAACTTGAAGGCAATTGACAATCGATTCAAGTTCGGAGGTCGTCCTGATCCGGGACTTTATATCGTATCAAAGAGGCTTTGAGCTTACGTGCCAGTGCTTGAAGGCGTGAGGCTTGGAAGGTATTGGGCTTATTGTTCGGGGTCGGACTTAGATGCTGCGTCTTTTCATTTTTCTTTGAGAGGTGCACCGCCGCTTTCTCCTGGTGCCTTTCTGGTTATTTGTTTACAAGCACAATCTCGAAGACGGCAGTGAGCCTTACCATACCAGTAAAGTAATATCTCCTGTGACTGACTTCTCAACTCAACTCTACCTTATCATCTGATATTAGGGCTATATGATTCAGATTCTCACTCATTTCACACATATCATCCTGACATGAATGCAATCATCAATCGATAGCGTCTCGAAGGTCGTCCTGTTCCAATTTTCCGTGCTCTAAGGGGCAAATAATCTAAAGATTCTGCCTCTTTTGTTACTTTGTTGAGATGTATGATTCCGCATAGGACGTTTGATATCTCGTTTACAAGAACAAAAACGCGAAGTATCATATCGATGAAATAATCTCTCTTGTCACAGTGACTGGCTTCTCAATTTAACTCTTTATCATCCGAACACTTTCAAAGGGCTCCGTGATTCAGACACATTCATTACACACCTCATATCAACCTAACATGAAGGCAATCGTCAAGACTTAATCGACATCGGGTCGGAGGTCATCCTGTTCCAGAAGTTCAGGGTACATTAATTATAAGGGTCTCCACTGCTCAAATCGTCGATCTTAGATGCTAACATAAATATTCTAAGAATGGGATATTGGGTCTTTTGTTGCGGTTCGCCGCACAATGCTCCTCGTACCTTTCTGACTATTTTTTGCAACAATAAGATTGAAGATGAGCCCAAGGTGAGCCTTACCATATCTGTAGGTAAATTAATATTTTTCTTGTGACTGGCTTCGATCATTTTCTACCTTATCTTCTGACTCGACTTTAGAGCTTCATTATCTTTTTGTTCCATCCATCCTATTCACCAGCTGTGGCGAACGCGAACGACTCGGAAAAATATTCTGATCCAGGATTACAGATTACCTTGGTTCTAGAGCTGCCGTGCTTGAAATGGTGGGCATGGTGACAGGAAAAATATCCTCAAGCTATAGATGCTACGTCTTTTGTTCAGACGCATGCTGCGTCTTGTGTTGATATTTGTCCATGCGATTCATTCTCGTTTGTGAGCCCTTCTTAATTACGTACTTGAGCAGAGATCGATATCGAAAAGCTACCACCGAATCCTATGACGGGGTGGCGACTAGTACATTGATCAATTACTAGGCGTTATTATACACCACACGATAGACAATAGAACTACTTAGACAATAAACAAGTAAACAATAGAAAGTAATGCAATTGCGTACAACACGTGGGTAGTGATGGTTACCCAGTACCGTGACACTGTGGCGCCTTTGACCCTCGTCGACCCTGCCATTATTGTCCAAACAACCAAACAGCTATCAACCTATATCAATCTCTCACTGTCCGGGCTCAAGGGGATATGCCCGTATTGCATCCAATTGGTGGTATTCCGCGGATTAGGTCTCCTATTTGAAGGCTGGCCTGTCAAAGATGGGTGGCAAGCTAAAATCGTTCCTTCTTGACTTCCCAAACTTCCTCCAGATCCACATCGTTCAAAACCTCAGTTATGCAACAAAGCCCAACGTTACCTCTTGATGTTTGGTTGTGTATAATGGACAACATAGAAGGCCGGACCCTTTTCACCCTCACAGAGACATGCAGGGAATTTCATCGCGTTGCATTAGCTAAGGCATACAATACGATAGTATTCAAGGCTCCAGGAGATCCGAGTCTAGCAAGCACGTTGACAAGCGAGATGGATGGGTTAGCAAGTGCGCTTGAAGACCTCCAAGGCCTCATGGACCGTGTTCTCAAGTTACAACAGAATACAGCTCACCTCCGATATATCCGACATATTCGTCTTCTGTCCTGGGGAATTTTTTCGGGCGAAGTTGCATACGCTCAGTCCATCGCCGACGGGGACGACGAAATGATAAGCGAGGCCAAAGAAATATTTGACGATGCATATGAGCAGGTTCTCATATTCGTTCGACGCCTAGCTTTGCAATCCTTATTTCTTGGGTGCTGTATAATAACGCCAGGACTCTTGGACGTTATTTATGGAGTTTCTACGTTGAGGACGGTTCACATTCAGGACTACATTAGCCCATGTAGGTTGTGGAAGAATACTATCAGTGGTCGTTACCCCGCAACGCATCACGTTACGGAGTTGCGATTGAACACCATTTGTACCGATGGATCTGAAGGGGACGACATCAAGACATACTTGCTGCTTTTACTCGGCTCTTCTTTGAAAGTCCTTGAAATTCCAATTCAGGCAATTTCGAACGTGAATAAAAAACTATTCCCCGAGCCTTTCTTCGAACAGCTCGAAGATCTGCTTTTGCTTGATAATATTGGGCATCCGATGAACGCCGCTTCGTTAGGATGGCTTCTTCGATCATCTCCAAAACTACATAGGCTGACCATGGATGCGATACCACTCAAGTGGGACTATCTGACCCACATGGATACGATGATGAACATCGATGATCCCTCTCAGGCTCCGAAGACGTACAAATCGGACGAAGAAATGTTCGCCTCGATTTTGCCTGGGTTCACCGAAGAAACCCTCCATAAGTTAGAGTTTATCGATGCGCCCTTCGCATTCACGCATACAATCTTATCCTCGTTTCGGTTAACATCACTTCAAGAAGTCGTTGTGGAAGTTCCTGGATTGGATAGGGAACAAAAGCTGACAGAATTTTGCCAGTATCTTTCAGCAACGCTACCAGGTATGGCCAAACTGAAGATGAAACGCGGCAGGCATCGCGACGACTCCATCAAGTTTGAATACGTCTCAATCATTTCAAACCATCTGCCCAATGTAATCCAATTACACCTAACAGGACTTGAAGAAATCGAAGGCGATGTAGATTCGGTGGTGAGCTTCCTTCATAATACTATGCCTATTGATATACCTAACTCTTCAATAGGAATTGCTCCGCGCACTTCTAGAGGGATTATGTGTATTCCCATCTCTTCAGATCTGCACCATTGAATCTCTACAATCCAATATCCTGAACACGTCCATTGGGTTGACTTCTCGAGAACGAATACATGAAAAAATGAAATTTATCTGCTTTCCGGGAGACGTTCTATGGGCTTGGATAGATCACCGGGGATGGTGTATTGTGGACTGGACCACGACCATTCGGGAGCTCAGTGTATGGAGTTACAGCGGAAAAGGTTTCCATAGACTCCAAGATGTGGATTACTTTTAGCACCGACCTTCTAGTAGCGTCCTGGTCGGTTACCAAATCTTAATTATTATCAGTGTTTGTTTATAAATATGAGATATGACACTGGATAGGATTGTAAATCTCGCAGAAATAAACGTTGTTATGGTTCAAAAAAATTAATTAAATACCAACGCACCGTCCGAATTCGAACACTAAAAGAAGTTTATTATTTATGCGCACCGTATGCAGGTCTAAATTTCTCTAAAGATTAAAAGGTGGAATTCAGAGTAAATTGACTGATCAATTCATAGGATACTCAGGGAGAACAATGCTTACCCCGAAAACAAAAAATGAAGGTCTTACCCGGATTCGAACCGGGGTCACGAGAAACCGAAGTTCAAAATCTCGGGGGCTAACCACTACCCCATAAAACCTTGAATGACTGGCTTAACTAGATATTCGTGATCGGATTCTGCAAGACGTAGGTGTTTTTTGTTGTCGTGAGGATAGCTCATTTTGGAAATAAAATATAAGGAGAGAAGAGCTAAGTGATCATAGAGAAGAAAAACGAAGGTCTTACCCGTATTCGAACCGAAGTCATGAGAATATTGAACGTTGTCCGTCGACGAGCATCGAGAGCACGACAAGCAGTCAGAATATCAGGGGCTAACCGCTCCCCCATAAAACCAACAAATGCTGTCCTGGAGTGATCCTTTCCGAACAGCCCCTACCTTCGGTACTATTATGAAGCTTTTATTCTGTAAGAAACAGTACTTACCCATGAAAATCCGTTAAGGAATCACTAACATCGTTATGATATGTTCTCTTAGTTCACGCATTAAAATTCGAATAAATTGTATTGGAGCCATGTAGATATAATCATAGTGAATTACGTATACAAATATTCAATGTTGTAGTTTATTAACCACTACCCCATAAAACCAACACAAAGTAAACCACGTCTGGGGATCGGATTGTGCGCAATAAAGTGATCAAAGTAAATTTATAACATCAAAGCCACCCTTTTTCGAGTCTACTACGGTATTCCGTGGAACTTCGCAGCTTCTTAAAGATAGAGAAACACACGATGGGTGTCCACTGGTCCGTATGGAGGATGATCCAGAGTTACTAGCATATTTCTTACAAACATTAATGGGACAGATGTGAGTAAATATTGAGCTTGGATGTAATTGAGGTACTCATTGATTTGTTTGTTTTTACTTTTATTCTGATACTTAGAGAGAGATTCTCGACTCTAATGAAAACGTGGAGAATGAAGCCCCCGATCGAGCCCTCGTGATTCTGCTTTTCAGTCACAAATACATGGCAGCGCGTTATCGGAAGAAAGCCGTTAAATGGTTTGAAGATAGAATCCCAGAGAATATTAAAGAAATAGATCTTAAAATGGCCTGGGATTCTTTGCCTTGGCCGCGTTGGACTCATGCCAGTCTACTGTCAACAGAAGAGCCAAACGCTATCGCAATGTTCCAGGAATGTGATTTGTACCGGTTCCTCCTGTGGAGTTTCTATATGATATGCTACCATGGAAACTCATTATTGTCCATAGAATGGTTGAAGAAGAAAGGAGATGCCTTGAATCTCTCGGCATCGTTAACCCTGATCTGGGAAGGTAGAGGTCGATTACAGGAACTATATCGCAAAAATATATGCAAGATAATCCAGTATCGTTCCATCGAGTGCCAGTGTGAGACTTGTAACGAGCCTATACGCCTGGCCTGGTTGGTTCAACAGAACGAGATTATGTGGTTCATGTCGCCCAACTTTTTGTCACCTCTTAAAGATCCGAAGCAAAACTCAATTAATTTATATAACAAGGATGGTATGGGAGCACAGCTTAAGATCCCTTGCAATCCTTGCCGTAAGGGATGGATGAGAGAGAGCAAAATGCTTATGGAAGAAGCTTGGCCCGAGCTTCCCAGATTGTTTGGCTTGCCGAGTTGGGAGGGACTCCAGAGTGAGGAATGCTGACATTTCCGGATAGGTATGCATTCAATCGATCAGCATTAATTGTTTATATTGACTTGAAACTCATTAGTAATTATTCCGAGGCAGTTGCCACAGCGTATGTAGCCAAGTAGATTGCTTTGTGTATTTTGGTGCTTGCTTTGCTTCTATTCAGTATATTTCCACTCCTCTCACGTCTGACGGCCCCGAGCTCTGAAGCTCTAATAGTAATAATGTTTTCGAGAAATTCGATAGCATCGACGATTCATGTTAAAACGAGCAAAATACATATGATGTCATTCATAATTTGTTCATAATGTTACATACTACATAAGTAGCTATTTAGCTCTGTCATACATAACTAATTATTAAAGCGATTCATCAAGCTAACTAGATGTTCCTCTGTCGCCCAGTTCGACGCCCCTTGCCCACTATCCCATTCTGGGTTATAAGGAATTGAAGAGGTAGGGGTTGGGTTGTAGTAGTGATTTCCAGCGGTGTATTGACTTTCAGCAGCGTTGTATTGGTTTCCATCCATGTACGGAGTTCCAAGATTGTTCTGCGTCCCAAGACTGTATTGACTCCCAGTACTGTACTGAGTACCGAGACTGTGTTGTGTGTCGGTCCTATAAGGCATCCCAAGACTATATTGAGCTAACGATTCGTTACTGGCATACTGAGCTCCAGCGTTCGCGTTGTACGTCGATTGGACCCCATCGTAAGTGGCATGACGTCCGGAAGAATAGCTAGGTCCACGATGGGCTGAAGCAGAAGTCGGAGCTCCAGAAGTCATGGCAGACGACTGGCGAGAGGAATATTGAGGTTTAGTGGGCGATAAATAGAGGATAGGATATGGCCGTCCCTGCTCTCGAGCAGTGGGTGTTTTGCACCTTGCCAAGGGCTGTTCCTAAATACAAACGAAAGGTCAGTGATACTGTATGGTAGCGATGCCCCGGTCAGGACGTGCCTTTCTGGGACTCTTAGGGCGAACGGGACGAGGTGTTTTTGAAGGATATTCCTAAATGTAAAAGGATAAGGTCAGTAATAGCGCAAGAATGACTCCTCAGAAAAGACATGCCTTTCGTGGAGTCGATGCACCCAAGTAAAAATCCGGGGGTAAACCTTGCCGCGTTGCCTTAGCCATAAGACGAACTGTCTCCTTTTCCGATCTCCCTTCCTCCTCAGCCGGAGGCTCACCGTACATGGGCTTTTTGCCCCTAGCAGGGAGAGTATGGGCAGAGTTCGGAACAGAACTCCTCTCGTAGGAGTCGTAGGCCTCCGGGTATTGCGCCCGATGCATAATCAGTTCTGCTTTTGCCATGGCGTCATAATTCTTCCTGTCCGTTGTTGGCAGTTCCTTGAAAAGCTCAGCCGCAATTCGAGTGAGGTTGTCTGGGTCTTCGAGGTTGAGTTTATACTTTTCAGGATCATTTTTGTAGCTGTCGACGAGATCCTCGCGGTACAGGTGGAATGCAGAGGGCGGGCGTGCTACTTGAACGGGATTGCCGTAGCGCGTACGACGAGGAGTCTGGGGCGAAATGGGAGCAGGAGGATAGTGCTGATAACGAGCATCATAATGAGCATCTATGGGAAACTCATCAATTAGAAGTATTAAGTACATAGAGAATACTCACCTTCGTAGGTACGTACTGGTGGCATATTCAAAAACAGACAATTTCGATGAAGGTGAGGTAAGAGACACTGGTAAGAGGATTTCGATGAATTCCCAGCACAGAATTCCAAGGGCTTTATAGCAAATCAAGACACACTACAATAATCGACCGAAAGCTTACTCCATTATAAAATTGACAATGGAAGAGACTGAGGCCCTGCATAGTCAAAGCGTCCGGTCTTCCACAATCCAAGCGTCGGACGTCGGACAATGATACCCTAAAGTTTTGTTCTTGGTAATACCGATTGATCATTGTATTAATTTCAAGAATAAAGGTCAATGCTCCAAAGGGTGCGAGTTAGAGCTGAAGTCAGTTGGGAGGGTAATAAGGTTCAAATACAGACAAAAGGCGATCATATCGTCCGAAAAATATTCTATTAATTGTTATAAATCACGATTGTTGTAACTGAAGATATATATTTTTATTCGCCGCGTGATGAAGCTAGTTAGGGTGCGGACGTCGACGCCGACCATTCAATCCCATCTCTGTACTGTATCAAGGGGATATCCGTTTTGACTACTAATTATAATGAATGCACTTTCCCTTATCGATTGAAATTCATGTTGTAATTTATCCTTCTCCATATAAAATTAGTGGATGAAAGTCAGTTCGTACCAAGAAAAAAGGAAGGGGAAAAACATTTGCGATTTCATGGTCCACTCAAAAGGAACTTTATGGGGAAGAAGACATCAAAACAAAAGTCTTAACCGGATTCGAACCGGGCTTACGAGAATATTGAACGTTAAACGGTCGGAATCTCATGGACTAACTACTACCCCCTAAAACCGACGATGTCCTGTACGCGACCGGAAATCGACCGGCCTCGTAGGTTATTAGATATGGGCTTTAGTAAGAGGTACGAAGTGATGCGTGTTATTACTAGGGATCAAGCTCTCTTACAGTCTTAGTCTCAATGTAATTTTATTAATTCATGATTTATAATACCCTCAGCCTGGATGACTGGAAGATACTACAGCCATAAGTATTTTGATTTGGTGATAACTAACTAACCTGTTGATACCTTCGAGTTCGAAGAGAAGAGCTATTACTGAAGAATTTATGTGAAATATATCTTGCCTTTAATGATGATATAGTGATAGTTAATTATACTTATCCTAATTACTTGTATAAATCAGAGATTTACATATCAAACATTTACATAAAGGTTACATTTGGATCAAAAGCCTTCGCAGTCCGAATCATCCGAGCCAGGTTCTCCCCAGAGCACTTTCCAAGATGGCAGTCCAAAATACGACGGCAAGGTCATCCACGTTTCTCTTCTCAGCATCATCTCCTTGTCCAACCATAGCAATCGGCATTGCCCACAAGGCACGCCTATTTGCACCCAAGTATTGGCCTCGCGTTGGAATGTTACTGTGTTCTGCCCTGGGGATAGGGCCGCCAAAGCTTTGAAGCCTGCCCATTTATCGAGAACCTTCGGTGAGAGGCAATGTTGGTTTAGCCAACTCAATTGAACATGACAAGCTGAGACGCAAGAACGAGACATAATGGTGTTGAACCCAATCTTCCGCCATCGCTCACAGAGTTTATCTCGAGCTTGGAATATGGCATAAAGTGTGGCGTCGCTTATTTGACGTTCGGAGTGAGCCTTCACTATGGATGATAAAGGCTCGGAGGCAGCTGAATAGTACATCCAAGGTAGGAAGGCCGGCAAATCCTGTTCTTGGAAAAGGCTCAGCAATATCAGAGGGGAGGCAGGCCAGTGCGAAGGGTTCGGCCCAAATACATCCGTATATGAGGCTATATTCCCTATCGAAACAAGTGTTCTTGGAATAAGTCTTTCGAACTGCTTAACCGCCTGTTCACGAAGACTGTCCGCAATGTATTTTCTGGACAGTCGTAAGATCGCCGCTGCTTCAGGAAATGGAAGGGTTTTAGAAAGGACAGGGTTTCTGAAGTAGGATTGTGAGCATACGAGTGGTAAATTGAAGCATTGAAAACACATACTTCATGTCCATGAGAGCCTTCAGAAAGTATGCAAATTCCGTGGGGTCGTCAGAGATGCGAACGATAGGACATCCGTCATATT